AAGTCATGAAAATTTATATTATAGTCATGAAAATTTATATTATAATCTTTGAAAGTTAAAAATTAAAAAAAAAAATCAAAAGAAGATTTTGCTCAAGGTTTACACAACACATTTATTCAAAATTTTGCTTCTCATATATTTATTCAAGTAGGAAAGTATTACGTTATTGTATTATTTTCTTTGCTTAAGGTTTAGTGATTTTTTAAAATTTTCACTAGTTGTTTGATAAATAATGACGGAGCTGCGGAGGGGCCCCTGGGTAAAAGTTTTGGATCTGACACTGCCTAGTGTTCATGCTAAAAATTATAACTGTTTTATTGTTGAAGCCATTGAAATGGATAACAATTTCAAAAACAATGGTTTGCATTTGCTCTTAGAAATATAAAGATGCAGAAAACTAAAATGATGATCAGAATGTTTGGCCACATGACTCTGCTACCAAGTGGGTTCTTTTGATTAAGACAAAAATTAAATAGGAGTTTGGTTTGATGCATGATTAGAGAAGCAAGAGTCAATTTTCTCTGATTTTTGAGGGCTTTGGAAAACCAAGTATAGGATTCCTCAATTTCTTGCTTTTTGCAAAATGCAAAAATCAATTCTATAAATTTGAGTTTGAAAATTTTCACAATTGGAAACCCTTTTGCATGGTTAATGAAGTTCAACTTCTCGTACTCTAACATAATAAAGAGATAATGTCTGGTAATTGGACAGCAAGTATAGTACAGTGAATTTAATTGGGGAAGTTGAAGAAGAGTGAGTCAAAATGTAAAACTTGGAACTCCAAATTCAGTGAAACTCCCCAAATCTAGCCCTCGGTTTAAACCCTTCTTGTCTGTTCCTTGACCTAGGGTTTGCTTTCCATGCGTGCAACCATTTTTTATTTTTTATTTTATTTTTAAGTTTTGAAAACAAAAGAGTCAAAACTCTTTATTCGAAGCTTCTATACCTCTTTCTACGTGAAACATTAACCCACTTATATAATACAATCTTTTAATCAAAGTGACAACCCCATTATTAATTTAAATTAAAAATCCACTTTATATTTAAATTAACATTAACCATATATTATTATATAACACCGCGGCTAACCTTAATCTTTTGTTCCAATAAGTCAAGGTCCTAGTATTTTACATATTAGGAAATATCTCCCTTAAACTAATAATTGCCAATCAAATCTTAATTCTAAAACAACATTCATTTTTTTACGCAGAGAAGAGTGGATTACCTATTTTTAGAGTTAGAAAGATATATCCTAATAGTATAAACTATAGAATCTGAACCATACAAACCCCAAACCCCAAGAGGGGGGTAAATAAATTATCTCTCTAACTTAATTACCATGGGCATTATATCATGATACATTGTTTAAGAGGGTATAACAAACTTTGTTGTATGATTAATACAAAGTCTGAATCATGTTGAATTGTGTTAGAACTTATAAGTTTTGAGCGAATCATATGATTTATTTATACATTAATAAATATATTAGCTGATTTGAAAAGATGTCATTATTGAGGTCTTGTTGAGATGTTTAAAAACAGATCAAGTAAAGGTAGGTTGAAATCTAACCTAACTTACATTAACTTTTGACTTTTGAGAGTGTGCACATATTTAATTACCTCTATATATGCATATGTTGTTGGCCAAAACGAGGTTCTCTCTCATCACTCATCACACCATAATAAACATCAGTGCCTACAAAATATTATGCTTCATTTGTAAAATAATAATACAAAAATACTTGTTTAATCAATTGATCAGGATAAAATAGGGATATATTTGACTTTTCATAGGGTGATCTATATTTAAAAAGACGTGTTTGCCCTTGATGAATTTAAAAGTAAAAAAGTGATAAGTCTGGAAATCAAATTCCAATAATATATTTTCAAAGTCAATTCTATTATTTTTAGAATTATTATTATTATTATTATTATTATTTTTATGTTTATTTAATTCAATGTAGCTAAATTAACACATTCTTATTTCATTCAAGATCTTAAATAGTTTGAAAACTTTTAGTTTTTAAAGTTTGTGGAAAGAAATTAAACTTTATTTGTCAATTATTATTTATCATATTTTTCTCATTATAACTCAATTCATCCACCACTCCACCCTTTGAAAATTACACTTGCCCTAACTAATACAAAGTGATTTGTTTTGAATTGATTTGTTTTCCTTAATGCAAGATGATTTAGAAATATATGTGGTAATAATGAAATTATATTATAGTTGAGTTACTTAACGCCCCACTAACATGTGTTAGAGAATAATTTTATACAATAAATTTCATATAATTTCTTGTGAAATCAAGTATGTATATATAGCCTTATTTTCTTAGATTAGATAATTTTGCATGTGAATATTGAAGAGTATATATGACATAATTTCACTGATTTTTTAGTACTATTCAACTTGGCTGGGACTGTTTGGATTGAGAGAGATAAGACATTTGATAAAACTTGTAATTTATTCATTTACTAAGATCTTATACTATAATTCATTTTTCCTTGGTGGCCGGCTAGAGAAATTGGAACTTCTTGTTCTTCTATAAGCTAAAAGCAATCAATTTTTTTAGCTTCCATCGGTGTCAGGCAAGAACGTGACACGTAAACAAATGTTATCTCTAGAGAAATTTCTTTAGCTTCCATTTTTTTTTTTTTTTTTAATTCTCACTTTTTAATAAATTAATTCTTATTTTCCAACTTTTCAATAAATTAATTATTATAATAAAATAATTTATTCTTTCCAACTTTCATTCTTGGAAATATTAAACTAATAATTACTGCATTTTCATCATTCCATAATGTTAGTAATATGAATTATTTTCCCTCCAAAAGGTAGCATTTATGACACCAAAAATAATTTTATTTTATTAAAGGGTAAATTTGTAAATTTATTTTCTCAAAAAAATTTTTGATCCAGATCAATTGATCCAAATAGCACTGTCCATAATAATAATAAGGGCAATTTTAAAAATTGTATTAGATAAATGTAAAATGATTTTAAGTAAAATAATAATAATAATATTATATATATATAATTAAAATCTCAACTATATACTTCAAATAATAGAGCTGATCATGTGTCATCACCATATTAATTATAGACTAATGTAATAATATATTTACTTTCTTAGAATTAATATAATATTGACAAATTATCAACCACTTCAACTAGGATCCCGTTTTTATAATTAATATATGTAGTGTGATGTAAATAAAAATATTTTAAAGTTATATTCAACTTTCATAAAAGAAAAAATAAAATTCAATGAGTTTAAAAAATAAATATCTTACGTTATTAACATGTCAATCAATAAAATTGTTGTTTATATAATTATTTTTAAAATCACCAATCATATCGTTTATTAAAAATAATGTATATGTATGTATGTATGTATGTATGTCAACTTCATGAAATATATCTTACAGCAATGATTTGCAGTTAACAGTGAAATTTAAACAAAAAGAAATTATATGAAAGAATCTCATCCCTTCAATTTATAAAACCGTCCAATGAAATAAGTATTTCTCATTTTTAGGAATGTAAAAACCAAGACCAACTCGGACCGGGTTTTTTTATAAATGCAAGTCTAGGCTTAGGAAACAGTTCAGGTTTCACAAACCCAAGCCGAGCTTGGGTCGGGCTTACTCGGGCCGGGACTACCCAAGGTACAGAGTCTACAGACACGGCTTTGGTTGATACAATGAGGGATTTTTTTAAAAGATATTACCTAGTAAGTGAGGCTGCATATAGTTTTCCATTAGGAAAGACAGTTGGAGTAGTTTACGGTGACTTTCAAACTTTTTTGAGGGTTTTGTGTTATTTTAAAGTGTATCACTATTCGTAAAAAACCTCTTACGGAATATTTATATACCAAATGATTTATCCAAAAATGAATAAGAGAATAAATACAAAATGTCAAATTCATTATATTAATTCTTTAATTCATTTTTAATAATATTATTTTATAAACATATCTTTGTAAGAGATCTTTGTACGTATTATTATTGTGCATTAGTTATCATAACTTTGTAAAAGTTATTACAATAGAATCACTCTATAATCATAATGTTGAGACTAGTTAAATTTATTATTATACGAAAGTTATAATTTAATAAAAGTGTAATTATAAAAATTATTGTTTTGATTTCTTATTTTATAATTCATGTTTTAGTAGTATTAGGATTTCAATTAATTGTTTAAGTAACATTAAGATAGCACGGAAATTGATATAAAAAAGTCGCTGTAAAATTGAGTGATCAGATTCGATAACTTCACTACATTGATCAATCCAAATGAGCAAACCAATTGTGCATGTTTTTAACTTTTAACTGAAAAAGAAAATCATTACTAGAATTAGACAAGAAGAGGAAGGAGATAATCTTGAAGATGATAATACAAAAATACCCAAAATTTTATGCTAAGAAGCTCTAAACATGTTTTAGAGTTATAAATATTTTGGCTTCAACAAGTCGATGTTCATGCTGATGGCTTATTATGTACCTACAAGATGTAATAACAACTTTTAAACATAAATCATTGTCTCGAACATCTTTAAATAAATATTTTATTTCATCTTAAACCTTTAATGTAACATAACATATATTTTTTGTAATATGCATATAATTATTATTATATAAAGACAAGTTCTTTAAGACGAGACCTTAAAAAATTATAATTTATTACAATGTGAAATTTATTCTTATTTATAACTAGCTTAAGTTGAGACCGGAAGATTTTATGACTACATAAAAGTTATTCCTATATAAAGTATCACTATAGAGATGTTCTACTGTATAATATATCCGAGCCTAACCTGAGTATGCAATGGGTTTGATTTTCCAGTCATGGGCCCAGATGTAATTTATTTCTCAGCCGGGCCAGCATTTTTGTTTTTTTACATCCATACCCATTTTCTATCATAAAATGGTCAATACACTTTTGGGCCATAAAACTCACTTTTAATGCAAATTTAGGTCATGGAATATGACAATTTTAAAACTTGCCTAGAAAGTACAGTAAAATTATCGTGTAAATCAACAGGAGAGCAACATAGCTCCAAAGAAAAAATCATTAACCGACAAAACTCTGCCAAAGAACCCATCTTCTTTCTCCCTGCACTTTCATTGTAAGAATTCACTAATTAATTTTACATATTGATATTCTTTAATCATTTTGTTTTCTGCACTTTTTGTATGAAACTCTAAAATGTATTATGGAGATTAGAAAAAAAAGGATACACTGGGACTATTACTAAAAAAAAGCATATGAAGCTGCATACTATCACAAAATGAAGAATTGTGACCTTATGAGGCTGCCTGCAACAATTCCTTGAGATCATATCCTTGAAGCTGTACACGCAACAAAGCAAGAGAGGAAGTTTAGTAGTTGTTACAAGAATTATACATTTGAATGTAAATATTACATCATTATTGATAAAAATTAATTTACAATTGCCACCAGAGATTAAAACTATATGTAAATTATTTTACCTGAAGAAAGGTAAGAAGAAAAATTACTCCAGAGTTCCAGAAAGCATGGATCGTGATGGGGGTTAGAAGGTTGCGAGTTTGAGCGTATGAAAATCCTAAAGCAGTCCCTACAGAGATGGTAAAAGTTCTTTTAGTTTCTTAACTAAAGATTGAAAGTTTTGCATCTATTAAAAAAGCGATTCAATTTTCTGTGAAAATCTCAGGTTCAAGTCTCATATAGAAAACTTTAACCATGTTGACATTTAATAAACTTGCACTGTGGACTTTATGGATAATCTTTAACATCAGTTCATGATGTATGCCTTTACCTAGCACAAACAGCTGGGGAAACTCTCCCGGAGTGAGATGTGCAAGTGCAAAGACAGCAGCACTGATGATAACGGCAATAGGTGTAGGAACCCTGCAAAAACGGAGTGTGATTGTGGGAAATATGAGTGCACAGAGCGCAGGTTAATTAAAATCAATAGTAAGGAAGCACAACACGTCCTCTCAGTTGTCAATTACGTAAATCTATTCAAAATTTGTTGAATGAATAGAGTAGTACAGAAAATGCGATCAAAAAATGAGGATGAAATACATAAATGAACAATGACAGATCAAGTACCTGCAATTTTCATTGTTTAAATCAACAGCTTCAACCCTCACTCGGGAACTGAGATTGATGTTACAAATCTCTTTATCATTTTACTTTGCCCAATCGACAGTTTAATATGCCAAATGTGTTTCCCAAGGATCTTCATCCACTATTTTTCCTGAGTCTCTAACTTCCAATCAGGATCCTAAAACATGTGATAGAAGCACTTTGTCTTCATAAACAAGACAAATTCATCTCAACCTCTTAATTCATACTGACCTCAATGACAGCAGCTTCGAACTTCAAACAAAAGCATTAATGGACCATTGTCCATCTTGTATAATTGTACACCCACAAAGCCACTTATCTGTTGCATCCTCATACTGGTATTCTCAGATGATAATATTTATTCACAAAGCACTTCCGATCAACTGAAAAATTTCAGTGCTCACTAAAATATTCTGAGTTCTAAGAATTATTTCCAATATGTTTTTTTCCTTTTTTTTTTTTTTTTTTTAAGAATACAAAGAATAGTTTCAATGTCTAATTAAAATATACACGTCTATATTAAAAAAAAAAAAAATCCCTTAAAGCTTTTCAGTCATGTTTTCTAAAAGATTGGTTAGAAAGAAACCAAGTTTTTAAGTATGGCGTACTACCATATATCACCAGATCTGGGACACAAATAGCAACACTAACAAATAATTTTTCAGACATCAGAGAAGTAACGTACCACTTAGTCAGGGACACCATAAGAAACCCTCGAAAGATATTCTCCTCAAGAAGAGGCGCCAAGGCACCTGTTATGCCCACCAAGCAAGCAGTACTACAATGGAAACCAACATGATCACATAAATTTCTCAATAGTTTAGAGTACCAAAAAATATATTTTCAATCCAAAAGTTCTGTGATAGCAAAATTTTAACCGTACAAGAGATGCATCCTTGATCAGTAAGGTGACTTATGGCCAAAAATTAGAAAAAGCATAGAAAGGCCTTTAGCTGAATTACCTAATACTTGAAGATCCAATCAATGGAAGTAACTGAACAAGAGCATCCATCTGAAACCAAGTATAGAAATTATCACAGGATCCATTACACAATAAAAGTATAAAAAGCTCAAATAATTTTATGAAATTTACATCAGCAGATCAACCAATTTAATATTTTATAAACATAGTAAACAAGGGAGGAGCATTGAGTTAGCTAGAGGCCTAGCTTTTGTGAAAAACTATGTTATTATAGTTGGTATCAGTTAGTGTTACAATTATATTGCCTACATTCAAGTTCACATTATTACTTGTCATTACTTTACAGTTTCTCTTGTATATAGAATCATGATTAACATTATTTTTAAAGATTCTCTAATTTTCCTCCCCGTCTTTCCATTTTCTCATATATACCCCCTTCTTTGTAAATCATTGAAAACAAAGATATAAGAATAAAACGATAGTTTTTTAATTTGTGTCAAAATACCAAAATGAACATGCTAAGATAATTATTTCAATCTCTAAAAACAATTTGTTGTGAGGTTTATTTTTTTAATTATTTTGATTCCTATTCTTAAATTGATTATTCTTTCGAATCCTACACTTGAATTGGTTGATGTATGCATGTTGCATTTAAAGCGAATGATTTATTAGATCAAAGTCCAAAAAGACTAAAGACAAGTAGCCCAATCAAACTTATAATGAATTCTGTACTAACTAAAAAAATGACGTACTTTATAAAGTGTAAATTACAAGCTTGTATTCAGTTGCATTACCAGCAATTTAGCTAAATGAGCAGTTAAAACATTGCTCTAGAAATATAGGCCCATGAATGTAGACTTAATTTTCACCACTTAACCAAGGAAATTCATAAGAAATATGTCCTCCAAACCTCAAATACATAAATATATTGAAATATGCTTACATACATTATGAAGTTGCAAGTAAATTTCTAACCTCTCGTTGTGGGGCGTTCTCACCATTAAACAAGGACATGGCAGCTCCTGTTAATGCAATAGCTAAAATGGCACCGCCAAGACCAATCCCTGCCCATAAGAGCCATCCTTTCTGTAGATTGAAAGGTTCCCTCAAATCTGCAACAACATTACTTCAAAAATGAATCAAGTAAATTCATACATAAATCCAACTTCTAATGATAGCTGATTATAGCAAGCATCAGCTAATAACAGTGCTACAGAATACAATAACACCAATCTATAAGACAATTAAAAGTAATATTGCAGCAGCCAACAAAATAAGCTAATAATTTATGCATCCAGGAAATGAGAAATTGAATAAACAGGTTTTCAGCAATCAATACCATATTGGAAAAAATCTTCAGGAAGCGGTTTAAAAGAGTTTGAAATGCCGTACAGAACTGCAAGCACAACTGCAGTTGTAATGCTGCCAAAACATGAAGTCCAATAATTCAATTGCAAAACAAAAAGAGAAAGAACATCTTAATCAATCTAACAAAAATTAATGACCAAAAAAAATATGAGTCATACCCTTGATCCAGAAACAGAATCTCTGCCTTCTCATCCAAACTTAGTTCTTCAATTTTAAGTCCTAAATAAGGTATAGCAGTTGTCTCTACCAATCCTGTCAACACGAAACTGTCTGAACAAAATTTAAATTTCACGCCGACCCCAAAAGGAAAAAAATAAAAAAGCTTTTACAATATCAATTAAGAACATTAATCATTGCTAAAAATATTATAAATTTAAAATGAAACGACACCTTAATCCACAGGCAAGTGAGGTTAGCGAAGCTGTCTGCCACCCCCATGGCACGTCCCATCGCTTAAGCACTGGCCAGTCCAATTTAGTTTCCTGGAATCAGAAACTTAAAGTTAAAATATTAAACAAGGAAAAAGAAATTGCAGTTGGAGTTGGCTTACGTTGGCTTGACTATTTCTGGGCTTAGAGTCTTTTCCGGCATTGAAAAAGCAAGTTGAAGTGCATCTTGGTTTTGACTTGACTCTTGCAAACCTTGAAAGTGGGTTTGGTGTGTTAAGAAGAAAGGTATGAGTTTGTTTGGATGAAGAAAATTGGGAGACACAGTAGAGGGAAGGTTGAACTAGAGACCAAATCATTGTTTTAGTTTTACAAAGGTATTGAGTTGGGAAAGTTTGAAGCTAAAGCTACGGCGAGCGGGCGCTTGCTCTTACCAAGTATGGGATAAGGCAAGAAGAAATGCGGTTATAACAATTACCTCCTCTTAGTTTGGTCCCAAGTGAATACGCCCAAAAATTTGTCAGGCGGTAATAATTTTTAACAGTGAGAGGGTAATATGGTCAGATCACAATAATTATAAAATTAAAATATTAAAATTTAATGACTTTTATGAAATAAAATTAAAAAACCAATGTTGTAATTCTAAACATTTTAAAAATTTTTAAAAACTAAAATTAGTTTACTAACCAAACAAATCATTTGATTAAATACACCATAATTGTCTTCAATCTCTAAAGATTACTCCGTAAATCACCCAATAAACATTACCCTTTGAAAATTCAAAAAATCACTATCCCCTCACTTCAGTACCTACAAAATCACTACCACCAATTTTAAGTAAATTTTACAGGATTTATATATATAAAATAACTCGAATAAGTCACATTGAATAACAGTCATGGGTCTTAAAACTTCTTGGATTTCACAATTATGATTTCGTATAAAATAATAAGAAGGCGTACCTTCAGTTCACCCATAGCTTTTCTTCTTTCAGCCCAAAACTCAATGATGGTTTTGAAAATAATATGAAACTGTGTTTCTCTATTCTCAGCCTTCTTCTATTCAACAAAGCACTTCAATACATGTTAGAGAGCAATACGTTCTGTTTCTTTTATAGGCAGAGGGAGGACCATTTTCTTAAGGCTACATTTGTAATTTTCCTTTTAATTACCTCATGTTTTAGACCAATTACTGATATTTATTAAATCATAAATAAATATCCTTTACTATGGCACATTCTCCCATTTGGCCCATGTGGCAAAATTATCATTTTTGGTTGAATAAATACAGAATAATGCACATTACATAAAGATAAAACTCCTTAACATTAGTCATATTATAACATGATTATTAAGTATAGACTAATAAGAGTCATAGCGGTTTCATGTCAGTAAATCGACATAATTCCTTCTATGTACAACGATATTAGTTTTTCTACTTAACATGATCTATGGTCCACTATAATATCTCTTATCATAGACTAAAGAGTAAACGACTTTTTCCCATCCAAAGAATGGACTAATGACACTTTTCACCCAAAATGTTTTAAAATACAATTTTACTATAACAATAAATTTTAGTTAGTAAATTTAGTTGTAATGAGAGTAAAATAGTCAAAAATTCATTAAAAGAAAGGACAGAATGGTTAATTAATACCAGGGGCGGATCTAGACCTGTCACCCTAACAAGAATTTCTGAATATTAATACTTTGCATGAAAAAATCAAAAATTTTAAATTCAAAGTGTAGGTAATTGTAGGGATGCATGGTTGCCACGGGTTTTTTTTTCATCCTTCTTCTCTTTCTTTCCTATTTTTTTTTTCTTTCACCCTTCTTTCTTTCCTTAATGTTTTCTTTCTCAGATCCGAACCAAAGCCAAAACGGCCAGTCCTCCCTCACTTCTCCTCTTTTCACTACGCCTCCCACTACCTCCCCTCCGCTGCTCCGCCCACCTACAATTTCCTCGCTCCACTTCCCCATCACCTCCCCTCCCTGCATCTCCCGCATAGCAACACCAACCCACCCACTTCACTTCTCACTGTCACACCACACCCTTCACTTGCTCTTCAAAACCCACTCACACACCGTCCACCACTGCTCGCCGATTACCACCTACATTGCTGTGATAGTTGTTCTGTATTTCAAGTGTTTGTTGTTCTGTATTTTCAGATTTTCTTGCTGTGGCTTGTTTTTTGACATTGATAGAGTAGTCTGGAGTTTGTATTGAAGTTTGGGTGTTGTTTGGTTGTTTATTTAGAGTGTTCTTCTGTTTGTTCTGGCCGGATTAACCTATCAGTCACCTCTCTTCACTCCCCAGCCCAACGTGCACACCACCTATTCGTTAAAAATCCCCACCCAGCTAACTTCCCCTTGCCGATTTGATTGGATGGTGAGACAATTGAAGACTTTTGTTTTAGAAGGGAATTATGGTGAGAATTGTTTTTAGGGAGGCTTTCTTTGTTGACAAAAATAAAATGTTACTGGAAATGTTATTCTTGAGTAAGTAAACTGAGAAGAAAATGATTAATAAAATTTAAAAAAAAAATGAGAAGAACTGATATAAGAAAAAAAAAGAAGAAAATGTAAATGAAAGGGAGAAGAAAGTAAGAAGAAAGAGAAGAGAAGAAGAGAGAGAAGAAAACGAAAAAGAAATGGAATAACAATTAGGGTTTTTTTAAATAAAAGAAGGGAGGAATAAATTCTATTCTTAATTTATATTATATGAGGGCATATTAATAATTTTATATTTAACCAGTGTATATTAGTAATTCACAATGACAAAAAAATAATAAAAATAATTTAAGCCAAATGATAAAAGGTATTTTTGTCTTCACACTAAATATTACTGTAGTTAATAGAAATCATTAACGGACTATAATGTTTGGATAATAAAATTGTATTTTGAAATATTTTGGATGAAAAAGTGTCATTAGATGATTATTTGGGTGGGAAAAACTCGTTTACTCTAGACTAAATCTTGTCACCTGTAACTAAAACATTAATGTGTATACCAACAAAACATGAATTCAAGATATCAATAGATATCAGAAAAAATACGTAAATGATATCAAAATGTCAAATACATAAATATCATAGAGTTATTAAGATTTTTCAATAATGCCCATCCTTTCAACATGTTCAATAAATGCCTTTGGAGGCAATCCCTTAGTTAACAGATCCGCAACCATGAGATTAGTGCTAATATGTTCAATTGGCACTTTCTGTTTTTGAACTTCTTCTTTAATGTCAAAGTATTTCACTTCCATATGTTTAACTCCCTTTAAATACTTGTCGTTTTTCACAAAGAAGATAGTTGTAGAATTATCACAATAATTTTTTAGTGGTTTGGAAATATTGTCGACAATTCCAAGTCCCGAAATAAAGTTTCGCAACCAATTTCCTTGAATTGTGGCCTCACAGCATGCCACAAATGTAGAAAATTTCTTAAGGAAATTTGGGTATTCAGATAGTAAACCTGTCTCAACTCCTTATGATGAAAATACTCAACTTAAGAAAAATACACAACACAGTGAGTCAAAATAGATATGCTTAAATCATAGATAGCCTTATGTACTTAATGAATAGTACGAGGTCTGATATTGCTTATGTTGTCACTAGATTGAGTAGATATACTCATAATCCTGATAAGAATCACTGGATAGCATTAGACAGAATTGCTAGATATTTAAAGGGCACCATTGATTATGGGCTAACGTTTGGAAGTACACCACCTATATTAGAAGGATATTCTGATGCCAATTGGATATCAGATTCAGATGAAATAAAATCCACAAGTGGTTATATCTTTACACTTGGTGGAGATGTTGTGTCATGGAAGTCTTCCAAACAAACTTGCATAGCTCGGTCTACCATGGAGTCTGAGTTTATCACGTTAGAAAAGACATGTTATGAGGCTGAGTGGTTAAGGAATCTCTTAGCAGATCTTCCCATTGAAACTCACCCTCATGTTCAGTATCAATCCATTGTGATTGTCAGGCCGTAATAGCAAGAGCAAAGAGCAAAATTTATAATGGGAAAAGCAGACATATCCAGAAAGATATACCATTATAAAGTAGTTGCTGGAATCTAAGGTAGTGAACCTTGACTTTGTGAAGTCATAGTTAAATTTGACTGATCCTTTGACTAAACCACTAAGTAGGAGGTTAGTGGAATACATGTCGAGGGGGATGGGACTTATGCCTAAAGCATAAGGCAAGAGTGATGGTAACCCTACCTATGTGATTGGAGATCCCAAGAAGTAGGTTCATAAGGGTAATAATAAGTCACTTGTTGTCTTGATAAGTATTATCAAATTTTATCTATAGAAAGTCCTCCCTATGGCGAGATAATACTGATTGCAGTGAATAAGGTTGGGTAAAATTACTCTTAATGAAATCCATAGCCAATATAAATAGTGGTGTGAAAAACTGCACTTCACATCTTATGGAGGTTCACCTATGTGAGTGTGGAATTGGGTCGATTCCCATGAGAGTTTAGGCAGGTATCTCTAAAGCGTTCATGAAATCCAGGCTAGCACAAGACAATAAAGTGCTAAACCCCATAACAATATACAATATAAAGAATTTAGTGTGAGGAACTAATCCTCTGAATTACATAAAGAAATTTTTGGTTCATAGAAACTTAGTTTCACCAAATTTCAGTAATTCACGTTTAGTTACTCAATGATTGGTTCATAGTCCGAAAGACACCAACTCATAAATATTAAGTTCTATAATCAGTGGTGATTGGTTATTTTGAAATATGTGGGGGATTGTGATAATAGCTGGCAGTTATGGTAGTTCAAAATACCAATTTTAATTGCCTTTTGGACTGTTATGTACTAAAAGTAATTGAATTCTTGGACTGTTATGCTATTGAAAGCAATTGAATTGCTTTGGTTATTGTAAGAATGAATTAACGGAAAACGGGCAAATTTTCAAGTATAAAAAAGGGTGTGTTTCTCATTTGAAATGTACAATTTTTCGCTTGAAAGAATCCTTGTTTCCTTTGTTTTTTATTAACTTTCCAGCTCTTCGTCACCACTATTATATTTCCTTATGTGATTCTAAACCTGAGGTTCGTCATTGTATCTTGGAGGTTAGTCCACTGTTGAGCCTTTTTGCACCACGAAGATTCTTCCAATAAGGGCGAAATTCTGATCTTAAGGATAGTGCTTTTGCACGCCTTGATGTTATTGTTTCACTGCTATATCATTACTGTTTTACTGCTATTTCGTTGCTGTCAGCTATTATCACAATAAACTCAGCCTCCATGGTGGACACAACAATGATAGAGTGCTTCGCACTCTTCCATGAAACTGCTTCTCCGGCTAATAGGAACAAATAACCAAATGTGGAATTTCTTGTATTAACAAATCCAACATAGTCTAAATCTGAATATCCAATCACTTCAAGATGATCAGATTTCCTATAAGTGAGCATGTGATCTTTCGTCCCTTGCAAGTATCGCAATACTTTTTTTGCAACCTTTCAGTGATCCAATCCTGGATTAATTTAATACCAACCAAGCATTCCAACAGCAAAAATGATGTATGGTTTGGTGCAAATCTGAGCATACATCAAGCTCCCAATAATGGATGCTTAAGGAATTCTTTTCACTTGTTTGCGTTCTGATTCATTCTTTGGACATTGCATAAGGCTAAATTTATCTCCATTTCGAATTGGAACAACACTTGATGAGCCTCTTTCCATTCTAAATCTCTCAAGAACTTTACTAATATATGTTTTCTGAGATAGCCCTAACAATATCTATCTTGGAATAATTCTATTCCAATCACATAAGTTGCCTTTCCTATATTCTTCATTTCAAAGTTCTTAGAGTGAAATTTCTCGGTCTCATACAATAACAAGATCATTAGTAGCAAGCAAGATGTCATCAACATACAAAGTAAGAAAAATAAACTTGCTCCCACCAATCTTTCGATATATACATCGATCAACAGTGTTTTCCTTAAATGCAAAAGATGTGATGGTATCATTGAACTTGTAACGCCCCACTTGAGGTACGTACTTAAGATTTGCTGTATTGCTTAAATGTTCATTGTTTCAGCTTTAATTGAGTTTGTATGTTGAGTTGGTTAAGTGTTTGCCTTGAAATTGGTTGAGATTTGAGGAATCTTGGAATTGTAGTCTTCGCCGCGGCGACGTTGGCTTTGAGTATGGCGGTGTTGACTCTGTAATTCTTCGCTGGGGTAACGGAAGTTTCTTCGCCGCGGTGAAGGGCCAATTGAAAAGTTTGGTGAGATTTCTAGATATTTCTCCATAGGGGTAAAATGACTATTCTACCCCTAATTAGCATGAAAAGTGGGGAGTAAAATGTAAGGAAATTTCATGGAGAATGGTTTAGTGTAGGGGTGTGAGTGTAATGAACCAAAGGATATAGATGGAATTTTCAAAGAAGAACAAGGGCAAAGTTGGGAAGTGATGATTTTCTTATGAGCTAAAAAGGGTAAAGTGAAATAAACCCTCCATTTCATTCATTTCCACCGCCATACCCATTCTCTCAATTCTCTCCATTTTCCTTTCACTTGTTCCAAGATTTCTAAGGGGTTTAAGAGAGCTTTTGAGTAATTTTGAGTAGAGATTTCATCTAAAGCATCCTAAGGTAAGGATTCTTGCTTTAGATGTGAGTTTGCTTATAGTTGTATTGAAGTCTTATATGGTTGTTGTTGTGTTGAGTTGTAGAGAGAAGACAAGACAACAAGGGAAAGGAAAAGTGCTAGAGAAGTCACTTTTTCACAAGGTAAGTAAATCCAACCAAGTTGAGACTTGAATAAGCTTTTGAGTAGAGATTTAGTAGAGATGTATGCATGTATAAGTATGTATTATGCTTGTTGAGAAATTGAGTTGAGATGAGATTCTATGTTGGTGGTTGTTGGATGTACATCATGTATGAGAAGTGTTTTAATGTGTATTGAGAGATGGGAATTGAGATGAAGTTGAGAGATGTTGAGTAAACCTATTTAGAAGTGCTTTTCTTGACAGGGTTTATGGTTATTTGAGGGAGTTTTCTCCCAATTTGGATGGCTAGAGAGTGAAGTAGAGTAGTAAATTATAGTAGAGTTTTTGTATGCACATGAATTGTTTGATGAAATGCCTAAGAGAAGTATGAGTATGAATTGTGAACCTTAATTCTTGCAACATTGCATATTGGCATTTCCTAAGTGCATTAATGAGTATGAACCATCCATATGCATTAATTGTGCATTGAGAAGTAGCTTGAGAAAGAGTAGAGGATTTCTACACTATGAGTATTAGCATGAGAAAAAGATGAATATTAGCTTGAGAAAGAGTAAAGACTTTTATGCTTAAACTACTCTAAGAGCTAAAGAAGAGAATAGAGTAGGTTGTGCGATGGGGAACCCGTGAGTGGTGAGTAAAGTCACAAGAGTGGGTGCTTTATGATCCCCAGCCGTGCCTCCGGTAAGATGAGGCTGTGACCGTCACGAAGAGTGGAACATGAGGTTCCAGCCGTGCTTCCGGTAAGAAGGGGCTGTGACATTCGAGAGATAGAGAGAAAGAATGTACACTCACATGGCCAAGGGTTCCGAATCCATGCATAACCGAGTTCGATCGGCTAGAATGAGTATGTAAAACCCCCCTCCAGTCAGGTATCCTCTGAATATCCCTCAATGAGAATCCCGAGGATACATGTCTGGAGAACGAGTTGTATTTAGAAAAAATCTGTATAAGGATAATAATAATAATATCCAAAACATGCATATAAAATGTCACGCAGGATCCAAACTTATAATTTACAAACTCTAAGAAATTACACAATCAAAACATATTTATAGGGTGGAAGCTTCCAAAGGTATTTCACAAATATTTATCATTTACATTATTTACATCAAGATAAAAACATCGAGATGACAATAAATCATCTCCCCTCACGTGTAGTCCCGCTGTCTCTAGCATCCCTCGCTTCTAGTCTACCTGCAAAGCAATCAACAATGAAAGGGTGAGCGCTAATCGCTCAGTAAGGAATGATCCGTTTCATTCTGAATGTACTATTTGATCTTTATTTAAACATATTTATTAACACATCACTTATCTTTTACATCTAGGGATACTTCCCCTTTTATTACTAATTCATATGCTTTTCATCATTTTATCCCATGGCTATATAAACATCAATGTGTACACATACAAATAAGTATGTAAACATAGTACACACACATCACATATCATGACATAACATCTAAAATCATCTAACATGAGTATAAATCATCTCATGATGTAAATAACATCATAACTCATGTAATGCAACTAAATGCATATGAAACATTTAACGTCTAGCCGATCGGACCTTTCTTAGCATCTTAAGCACTTCATATCATCTAGCCTCAAATTTCATCTAGAGCTCATATCATCGGGAGGCGTGCTTACGCGTTATTTAGCATCTAAAGCATATATTCATCTTTCCTCAACCGATATACGAGGATATGCTTACGCGTTTTCCATCATGTCTATATGCATCTCTATCATGTCTATTTGCATCTCTAACATCTTATGGCATGTAAATACATATTTTGGTGAGCTTAATACTTTTAATTCATCTATGGATTATCAACCCATTTACATTACCTCTTGCTCACATACATCATCTTAAAACATGTATTACATTGCATCTTCATGCCATTTCATAACATTAATCATGCATTGACATCATGACCATGTATATCTTTCAAAGATCATCTAACTAATGGGTAAACATTAGTACATGGCATAATTACAATAATACATTAATAATCAATTCATAATCATAAGAATTGATTATGTTAAATCTTAAACTTTAATAACCAGTTTATGCTTCAGGCCATTTTCCATCCTTTTCTCAAACGAATTGGCTCTTGGCATAAACATAAAAGTTATAGGTCTGTGTCTTAGCTTTCTAATGCTTCAAGAATCATCTCATTTCGATTTTTATAACTCAAGTTATGGTCGAAATACAGAAGCAGGGTTACCAAAACCCCTAAGCCCATTAAATCCGAATTTTCATATTAACTATGCCACATCAATTCCTATTGACATTAACCAATAGGTTAACTTATGGATCAAATAAACCTCCCCTTAATAGTCTTTAACATCTTAAAGGAAGTGTAAAATCTCATTCCCATAATCATCCATTATTGCTATAACATTGTAAGCTAATGCAAACAACACATCAACACTTCTAATAGCAACCATTCAACACCATGTGGCCTCCAATACTACAATTTTTGCCACAATCAGTATCCACACTTCATTTTCTTCAATCAAACATAACAACTCATAAAACATAAATAGCAATAACTTCATGTATAATGAATTCAAGGCAATAAGTAGAATAAATGAGTTCAACTACACTTGCCATCAACTAATTCTATGCCTTAAAGCTTTAATTTAAGGTTTCATAAAAATCTACAAACCCTAGCATAAACCCTAAAGTCATGGGAGGTTCTTCCTTACCTTTTTAAAGACTTCCTCCAACAAATCCTTTGCCTTTGACTTCTTTTACACCTTAATCCTACATATATAACATTATACCTCAACATCTACCTCAAATCTTCAAATCACATCAAAACTAAAGTTTTTAATCCTTACCTTAAACCCTTCAAATTGAAGATCCAAGGCTCCTATCTTGTTCTCCTTGAAAAATTATGCAAAACTCCTTGAAAACCTAGAGAAAGAAAGCTTGTTTCATGGAAGATTTGAGAGAAAATGGAAGAAATGTTGAAGAAAGGCTCTCTCCTTTGGCTTGAACGAATTTCATCTCATTTATAGGAAAATATTTCATTTATTTTCCAAAATTATGCTATTGGCCCAATTATTTTAATTGTATAACTCATAAGTCCTTAATTCTTCATATAAGGGCATTTTGGTCATTTCACACTAGACATAATTATTACTTAATTAATGCCATTAAATGCAATGAAGCCTACTCATCCTTGACTTTTTCAATGCTTATCCATAGGCAAAATAACCATTTTGCCCCTAAGCCTCTTTGTGGATAATTGATTCATACCGTTCCAAATGAATTGACTATTTTGCCCTTAGTTAGATTTTATGCTTTTTAACATAAAATTAACATCTAAAGGACTATTTTGAGTTAGGAACATACATTTGATATCTTCGGTATTACAGAGTAGAAGTCACGGATAGTGGGAGTGAGTCCCGGCCGTGCCTCCGGTAAGATGAGGCCGTGACTTATAAAAGAGAGTTAGTAGCAAAGAGTTATTAGAAAGAGCAAATAGAGAGAAGCATAAAAGAGAGAGTAAATGAAAAATGTAAGGAAAGAATTAGAGAGAGAGTTACGGGGATAGATGAGTAGAGGATTTACTTACTGAGCCTTAGTTGTGCTCACCCCGTTGTTTTCTATGTTTTTGCAGGA